AATCCTGGTTGTCTATCGGTCTCCCTACTCCACCCACCCAACCCCTGGGATAAAATACCTTCTCTCTTCAGTGCCTCCCTCCCCCTGCCCCCCTGGCGATTGGTGAATTCCCACAAAAATAAATCGTTCCGGATAATCGGTTTTCATAGCACATTCATTCTATTAAAGAGGGCTGTTTGGGGCTCGCTAATTGCCGGAGGATCCTACTGAGTTGCACATTTTTAAAAATGCACGCGGGATTCCTGGGTCGAGGCCACAAAATACATTGGGGAAGTGGGGGAGGGGTCGTAAACAAAACCCCGACGGAGGCTACAGGGAATGCCGAAGTGAGGGGCCAGCCTTCAGCCTTCAAATGCAAGCAGCAATACCTAGATACTGTCAAATTTTAAGATGGGAGCCTCTTTAAAATTGATCTTCGCCCGGGGCAAAAAAAAAGTAAAAGTTGCTAGATGTAAGTATCTACCATTCTTTCCTCGAGGAGGCTTCGCACTCCTGCAAAATAGGCATCAGGAAAAAAATTAACTGCTTTAGATACCGGAAAGAAGAGACGCAAGACAATTCATACCCGGTTCCGAAATGCAAACGCGCTTTGTTAGGGGTTGGGGTAGTGGGCTGTGAGGATGCCCTGGAATGAGGACGATGGAGCGGGGGAGGGGATTGGACGAGGAGGAACGTCGCAGAGCCAGCCCGGGAGCTTTATCTGCTTCGGGCCAGCCCTGCCCTTGCCAGTCCATGAATTACAGCCCGGCTTTCTGGGCTGCAGCGGCCGTAAGCAAAAATGTCGGGGACAGAAGCACCTCTGGATTAGTGCTGGCTGCGAGATAACAAGCCCAGTCCCCGCGCCTGTCACCCACCTCGCAGCACCCACGAACCGGGAATACCTAAAAAGGCCCAAATAAAAAATAAACGCAGACAAGTCTCCCTCTGCCTGCTCTCCAAACCGTGCGCCTCTTCTCCCGAGGGGGACAACACGCCCCCGAAGACAAACACGCAGACACGTTTTATTTCTTTTCTGTACATCCCTTCGAGACTGCAAGCACCTTTGCCCCGCAGCCCAAAGGCAGATTCCGCAAGTGTTCTACGTGGAACCCGGTCTGACACCATTTCCTTCCAGCAAGACTAATTCTACTCGTCTTGCAATGCGTACACGTAGCAAACCCGCCACGCGCGGGGCCAAAGCTGCCACGAGCCAGCCAGAACCCTATAAAACGAGATGCCCTGAGGTTCGGAACCGGCTCGGGCCGCCAAAGGGCGGTAGGCAGGCCCCCGGACCGGCGGGCGCAGGCAGTTGGCTCCCTGGAGGCGGGGGCGCGACTTCAAGGGCCCCTGCGCCGGCTGCAGCCTTTGATCGGGCCGCCGCTGGCGCCTAAAAACAACATCCTCGTCTGCCTATTAGACGCGCTGAAGAATCGTGACAGATTGTTTATCCCCGCAATTAGCGATGCGGCCCCGCTCGGGCTGCCGGCCCCCGGGCCCGCGGCCTAATCTAGCAGCTCCCGCCTCCCTGGACCGCCCGGGGCTACGCATGAGCACCCCAGCCACAGCGCACTCCAGAACTGGGGTTCGAGGACCTGCCCGGTCCGGGACCGTTCTTAGCTGGATTTACGGAGCCCTTGAAATTGCCTACGCAGTGGTGTTTTGAAGTGTTTTGGGAGGTGTGCGTTTTCCTGGGAAGCATATGATGAGCTAAACTGTATCTTAAAATTGCCTTGGGGCGAACATTTTGGGGGCCACAAGCTCCTGAAAGCTGTCGGGGGACGCTTACCAAAGTAAGCTCGGTACCAAACACGCACACTCCCCGTCTTTAATGTGGACCTAAAACATAGGTGGGAGCACGGTAGCTCTGTAGGATAAGCACTAGACTATGAACCTCAAGGTCAGCAGTTCGAAACTACCAGCGGTTCTGCGGGAGAAAGATGAGGCGTTTTGCTCCGGAAAACCCTGTGCAAGGTCCCTTTGAGTAGGAACCGACTCCACGGTACTTAACAACAGCAACATAAACCAATAAGGTCGGTGGTTCAAGCCCACCAACCACTCCCTGGGAGAGAAAGGAGGCTTTCTGCGGCCTCGGAAACCCTAAACTGAGTCGGAACCCACGCGATGACATTTAATAACAAAACGCAGATGGCTCTGATATTTTTTTCCTTAACCCCTCGCTCAGACTGACATTTCCACTCCCCAGCATAGTTTAATTAAAGATAGCGTTAGAAGTTCGAGTCCTGGCTGGCCGCTAGCGAGGTTTGGGGCCACCAGCTCTCTAAAATGGGGTTGTACCTCCTTCCAGCCTGTAATGAAAGAACCGCTCTCTATTCGTCCATAATTCCCAGGGACCTGGTACCACATCCACGAACCGCACTCCCGGCTGGGCCGATAAGAGTTAGGCCCCAAGCCTTTCCCAATGTTTCAGTACTGAGTCCGTAAGAAACTTGGCCACACCGTGAACATTTTGCAGACATGAGTTTAATAATATCTCCGGGGCCTGCGGCAGATCCGTGAGGCGTCCGCAGCCCGACCCCTCCCGCCAGACCAGGACGCCTTCCGGGTAATAAAACTCCCGCTCTGGTAATTCATTTTCCTTAATCTGGACTCCCCTAATCTATAGCTTTTATTGCGCCCAGTTAAAAGGCGAGGGAATTCGCTGTCTCTCCGCGCTCGGATAATTACCCCTAAATGGCCACAGCAGCCCCTTGTGTTTCCTGGAGATTAGAACCCTGCAGCCATCAATGGCCTGGCCTGGGGAGCCGCCAATCACTGGCGCTCGCTCCCCGGGAGCCGCCGGCCTGGACCTGGGGATAAGAGGCCATAAAGAGGCGGCGCCAGGAACGGACCAGAGCCCTGACCCGCGTTTGCATAGATCCCACGACCCCCTCCCTATCCCTAGCTAATTCCACTCCCTTTTTTTTTTAACAACAAAAATAAAATCAAGTTTTCTCCGAAATTGACAAAATAAAAAGTTCTCAAGTACAACACGACGAGCCATCGCCAGAAACCATCTTCTATCCGCCTACTCCGCTCCCCTAAATGAGTCTCCCCACTTCAAGATCAGCGACCCAGAGATAGGGATCCGTTATTGTTTGTGAGCACACGCTATCTGAGGTCACATTAAGGCCAGGTTGGTGTTTTGTTCCAATTTCTGTTGGTTTTATTTCAATAAGTTCTTTATCAAAAGAGAGCCGACGGTTCCTTCCCTCCCTGACAGTCCGGATCTAGGTGCTGTAAAACCCTCCGCAGAGAAAGCTGTATCAGAGAGAACCACCGTTAGCTTCCGGGTAATGTGAAGTTTCCTTACATGCGTAGCAGGTTTCTTCCAGCACACTTCAGCTTTCAAAGTGAGATAGAGGCCCACTTTTACCCGAAGTTAAAAAAAAGTTTTGAAGATTGCAACATTGAAAGGAAAAGGGAGGTGTTTTAAACAATAAATGAATACGTTTGTCTTCCGTCTTGGGTAAATAATCATGCGGATGTTTAAAGCATAAAAAGGGACAGGTAAGAAATGACTTCAGCTCAAATTATTGTTAGTAAAGAAAAAAGGGAGGGGATGAAAAAACAGTGGAGAGGGGGACGATGAGAAAACAACATAACAACGGAGTGAGGAGACAGGTAAACGAAAGGGCTGCAGTGGTGATTGGGTGCCAATCGAACTTAGTCTTACGCATAGTAACTCTTAGGACAGAGTAGAACGGCCCCCATTGGGCTTCCAAGGCTGAAATCTTTTCGGGAGCGGATCGCCCGGTATTTTCTCCCGCGGAGCTACTGGTGAAAGCGGTAGTGGGGAGAAAATAAGGAGGGAAAAAAAAAGGAAGCACAGGAAAAGAGGGGAGTTAAAGAGAAAGAAACTGAACTAGGGCGAGCCATACCCCTACTCCGTGCCCCAGAAAAATAAAGTCCCAGGAGTCATAGATAAAGAGAAGCGCCCGAGAGAGCAGTTTCCCGGGCGCCCCCTCCCTTCCCCGCGCCTCTGCCGGCCCAACGCTACCCTGCGCGGTCCGCAGCCAGGCGCGCCTCCGGGCCAGTCCCGGACGCGAGGTCCAATAGCTGGCGCCGGATCCGCCCCCTCGCGCTCGGATTGGCTGCCGCTGCTCTGGCCTTGCCTTATTAACAAGTTCTCGGGGGAGCGGCGGCCGGACCCGGAGCCGGCGAGCACGCCCAGGAGTTCGGCCTGCGCGGCGGTGGCGGAGGGACCAGGCCCTGTGGCGCGAGCTGGCCTGCGGGGGAGGGGCGGAAGCGCGCGGGAGGGCCCGGCCGGCCGTGGCCCCGGCGCGCGGAAGCCGTTGGCGCTCTCAAGCCGCCCGAAGCCCATGCCCGGCGGCTGGAGGGAGCTGCGGCTGCAGGGGGGGCCCGGCTCTGCATGGCCCCGGCTGCTGATATGACTTCTTTGCCACTCGGTGTCAAAGTGGAGGACTCCGCCTTCGGGCCGCCGGCGGGGATAAGCGGGGGACAGGCCCCCAGCGCCGCCATGGGCGCCGATGAGGAGGGGGCCAAACCCAAAGCGGCCCCCTCGTTGCTGCCCTTCAGCGTGGAAGCGCTCATGGCTGACCACCGGAAGCCCGGAGCCAAGGAGAGCTCCCTGGCCACCCCTGAGGGCGCGCCGGTGGCGGCGGGGGGCTCAGCGCAGCCTCTGGGCGCCCGCGCAGGGACCCTGGGCGCCCCGGATGCGCCCTCATCGCCGCGGCCGCTCGGCCCCTTCTCGGTAGGAGGACTTCTCAAAATTCCTGAAGAGGTCAAGGCTGAGAGTCCCGAAAAGCCCGAGAGGACCCCGTGGATGCAGAGCCCCCGCTTCTCCCCGCCCCCGGCCCGTGAGTAGCCAGCCCCCAAGGCGGGAGGGCGCGGTGCGGGGCTCGGGGCTCCAGGCCGCGCAGGCGTCTGACTGTCGCCAGCGTCAGGTACCTGCTGTTGCGAACCTGGAGCCCCGCGGCGAAGCCTGGGGCGGGAGGCCGAATTGGAGTGGTTACAATCGGGCTGTGAACGTTAAGGTCAGCAGTTCGAAACTACCAGCTGTTCCGCAGGAGAAAGATGAGGCTTTCTGCTCCCGTAAAGATTTACAGCCTCGGGAACCCTGTACAGAGTCGCTATGAGTCGGAACCGACTCCAAGGCACATAACGACAACAACTACTACTCCCAACTGGTACGGGGCTGCTGAGACGTGGAGGAGGCTCCCCTAGTCATCCGCGGGGTCACTATGTTCCCAGGAGTTCACCCTAGGATCAGTGTGTCTGGGCGCGGTCTCCTCTTGCCCCCACCAAAGGTCCGGGGGTTCTCCGATCCCCTGTAACTTCACCTTTACCCAAATCGGTGGGTCAGAGGGGCGAAGATCGCTACAGTGCGCGCGGAGTTTCGCTTTCTAGAAACCTGACGCCCCCGCTCTCAGTCTGTAAATTCTTTGCCTAGAGGTTCCCAGTCTTTTGCGAATTTCCCCATGTCTCCTCCAAGTTTGGGGCAGATACTTGGTGCTGCGGTAAAGGGATGCGTGGGGGCCGTTAGATTTCACTGGGGAACACCAAGTCAATTTGGGGCGTGCCCCCTCCAGTCCTGGTCAGAGCTTCCCCAGTCTTTCCCAGCGTTTCAGACCCTGCCGTGAGCGCGGACATCGTTGGCCAAAGGTGCATCCTGGGGTCGGTCGGAGGCTTGGCTGTCCTTGCTCCACACCATACCGAACACTCGGAGATATTTCAGGACCACGGGAAATTCCCAAGTTTTCCTCGTTTCCTCCGATTATTCCGCGCCGCATAATAGCAGCCCGAATTCAATGGTGTGGTGCTGGGGTGTGATTTTTATCTGGGGATTAAACGTCTTTGAAAGGCCAAACCCTCCCTGGGTCTGATGGCCGCAGAAGGTGGCACAGGCTGGGCTTTTGGACCCGAGGCAGTGACGTTTGCCCACGGGTCTTGGACGACCAAGAAGAAAGCGAGTCTGGGCCAAATGCTTTTTGGCCTCAACGGGGAGGAAAGGGTAGGGTATGTGAACACACACGAGATTTCGTTTGACTCACATCCTGGTGGTCAGGGATCCTAGAAAACCATTCTTTTGTTGTGTTGTGTTTTTATTTTTTAAGTTCAAGAAAAAAAAGAAAACGTAGCTAGGCCAAAACCCGCATGGTGAAATAGCCTAGATTTGAGTTCCTTTTCTTAAAGCGCTCTTTAAGAATTTGGGAATCCTTCCACCAGGGTTACAAAATCGGTGAGATTCCCCCCACCCCCACCCATAGGCCTGGGAATAATTTATGCCATATTATACCTGCAAAAGAATTCCGGAAGGCATGGGGTGATTGGCCCATCAGCTAGCCCCAGACCCAAGCAAACCCTCTGTCCCAGGCCTTGCTGGAAGCCCGCCCCAGAGGTTGATCTTGAAATCTCGAGAAAAAGACTTCTGGCCCTGGTTGGTCCCTATGCTCAGCCACAGAATGAGAAGCCATCTTCCTTCCCCTGTCCATTTTAGTGTGGTCAGAGAGAGGGTCAGGCACCGTGCCAGGTGACAATGGACATTCAGTTGAAGTAGCTCCGTTAGAATAAAGTGCCTTCCCCCCACCCCCAAAGGACACTATGTATCTAATATTTAAGCTTGTCTCCACAGGGATGACAGGGCCTATATAGAGCTGTGAAGTGTGAAGGGACATGTGGAATTTGCAGTCAACTGTTCTGAAGTCTCTGCCGTGCAGAAGCTTATCCCAGCTCTGAGCACTTGGTGCGCCTGACTTGGCATCTCTAACACGTTTACATCTCCCTCTGCGTGGTCTTGGGAGGGGGCCCCGGTCTTTTGGCCTTATCCTTGACTAGGGTCTCTTTCACCTTGAACCTCATTTTCATTTGCAAAAAGTTGACATGAACTTCCACCCTGCAGGGCTAGGGTGCTGGTTGGAGATATTATTGCCTAAGTGCCCCCACAATGCAAGGTGCCTAGGTGCTAGGGAAATGGTGGCTAGTATTGCTACTTTTAGGGCAAGTCGGACTCCAGTGTTGGTTCTCTTAACCTCCTGCCTCTTTTCTCCCGGTCCCCCTAGGGCGGCTGAGCCCCCCGGCCTGCACCCTACGCAAGCACAAGACCAACCGCAAGCCGCGGACGCCCTTTACCACCGCGCAGCTGCTGGCGCTGGAGCGCAAATTCCGCCAGAAGCAGTACCTGTCCATTGCTGAGCGCGCCGAGTTCTCTAGCTCACTCAGCCTCACCGAGACGCAGGTGAAGATCTGGTTCCAGAACCGCCGCGCCAAGGCCAAGAGACTGCAGGAGGCTGAGCTGGAGAAACTGAAGATGGCTGCTAAACCCATGCTGCCGCCGGCCGCCTTCGGCCTTTCCTTCCCGCTCGGCGGCCCGGCGGCGGTGGCGGCTGCGGCTGGAGCTTCACTTTATGGCGCCTCCAGCCCCTTCCAGCGCGCCGCGCTGCCCGTGGCTCCCGTGGGACTCTACACGGCCCATGTGGGCTACAGCATGTACCACCTGACCTAGAGAGTCTCCGGAGTGTCCACCTGCCTTGCCAGCCGGCTCTTGCCACCGGGGCCTTTTTCAAGTGGCAGGGGTCGCCCCAGCACGCTCCGGATCCCACACCCTTTTGCCCCCTCCCTTGAACTCCTCCCTGCACGCTCTTTCAGTTGCTCCGCTGTTGCTCCCCGTGTGTCTATCGCTGAAGTCAGATCCTCTCCCCACCAAATATGACTGAAAGAGTCCTTAGTACTGTTGGAGAATCATCTACAGATGGGGAAATTGAGGACAGACAGGTTTAAATGTTTACCCAAGGTTCCCAGCAGAGTCAATGGCTGAACCAGGACTAGCAGCTCCATGGCCTGTATCTCTGTCCTGTGCCCTGGTGCCCCAGGCAGGACACGCCTGGAGAAATGAATGCTTGACAGTATTGAAAATGAGGACAAATGGAGAGAGAAAACGAGTTTTCTAGGAGCGATGGATCTCATCTCATTAGTTGGAAAGTTTAAGAGAATTTCAACATCGGAACATTTGCTTTGATGGTGGGGGGAACACACAGATGGATTACAAAGGTAGGTTGGAGGGGACGTCTGTCACCAACACCAGAAAAAAAAAAAAAGTAAAATGAAAAAAAAAAATCCGTGTTTCTATTTAACAATACATTTGTGTGTCTCTCGAGAATCCCTTTGGAAGGGACTGTGTACTATGTAATATACTGTATATTTGAAATTTTATTATCATTTATATTATAGCTATATTTGTTAAATAAATTAATTTTAAGCTACAAAGAAATGATCTCTTTACTGAATTCGGTTTATCTTTGCATTTCACATCTTGCCATCACATCCCATACATATATAGTGGCTGTTTCAGATAGTTTTAGGCCAGCGTCTTTCAAAGGGGACAACAGGACACAAAGAGGCAAAGGGGAGGGGATGTCTTTTGGAACACACAGGACAGATCTCTACCTTAGCAAAGTCAAGTGGAGAATTGAAGCAATTACCCAGGATAATTAAGCTCAATTTTCCAATTCACTTTAAGCTGAAATCGACACTTGCTCAGGCGACCCTGAACCAGCTCTTTCTTTATGCTCCCCTTTTAACCTGTCTTTGAAAGCAAAGTGAATCACCCAAATGGTTTAATGACTGTGGACAGCTAATGGAGACAATCCCTACCCCCGCAAACCTGTTTTTTTTCCCACTGGAGGCCAGGTGGGGGGATGGAGGCGATTTCTTTGATTGAAATCACCATGGGGCCTTGTGGACAGACGTTTGTGGAACTAATTTTGAACTGTCAGAGTGTGAATGCCTTTGCACCCTCTAGTGTGAACTTCTTAAAAACAAAAACGCAACTTCACAAAGATCCCTGGGCAACCACACATTCCCTGTCTTTTTGCACGTGTGCCTCAGCGTCCAAATGGTTTTCCTTTAACGGAATAGATGAAATTCAGCCTTCCAGAGAAGAGGTTTGAGCAAGTTCTAAATTTAACTTTGTTTTGGGAGTGTGTGTGGGGAGGGTTTGCAAGAATGTTGAAGACGAATTGGATCTGTGCACCCTTCTCCCCAGCCTAGGTCCTGGACTTCCAAAAGACCACGCAGGATCCTTCCCGAGGTAGCCTTTGATGGTTAGCGTACTAAGCGGGATTAGAACCCAAAGCACCTAGCAATACATTTGAAGAGAGATAGAGGTTTCCAAAGTTAGAAGCCTCCATGCAGTGTAGGGGGAAACCCAGGATGGGACGTTCGGGGAACGCGATTGTGGCAATCAAGGGGCCAGACTAGAGATTCCAGAACAGACCCGAGAAGGGTGCAACCTGGGCGGATTCGGCTTTGGCTCCTGGTACGTTCCCGGGTACAATGGACCCGAGTTCTTACAGGCTTGGTCTTCTGGGGTTAGGGATGCCATCTGAACTTGTCACAGACCCCTTTTAAGAGAAGAAAGAAAAGCTTGTGGTGGACGGACTGCAGTTCCTCGGAACCGGACCCTCTGCTCCAGCCTCCCGGTGCGCGCGCTCTGCCTTCAGACATCACAAAGCACAGTAGAGTTGAGAATTTTTCCTACAAAGTCTCAAGACTCACACTCCCACGCCCTTGTAAAGGGTTACTTGCAGACTCAGTTTTACGTCTTTTTTATCCTTCTCTATAAATTAAGTGGGAGAACTAGTGTGGAGCTGCGGGTTAATGCGCCGGACGCAAGGCCGGTTTGAACCACTAAGTCAGCAGTTCAAGCTCATCAGCCGCTCCTCGTAATCGACTCGGCGGCACTTAACAACAACATAAATTAAGTGGCCAGCGAGTTGATGTCGTGCAAGACACCTGGCTTCCTCAAATCTCCCAGGTTCTTGTCAGTAACACCCCTGGCAACTCTCCTGTCCTGGCGACTTGAAGTCAGACAAGCCATGTCTTGGCTTGGCTGTATCTTAGCCCTGCCATTTAGAGAAGATCCATCAGGTCATTGCCCCATACCTTAGCTTTCTCAAGTGCGAAATGGGCCTGGGACTTTGCTCCTCCCAGGATTTCGAAGAAGGGTCAACGAGTCCCCGCGTGGGAGGGCGCCTGGGGTATACCGATAACAGAGTTTTCTCAACGCTGGAGTGGTTTCTGCGCGTCTTGCAATGGCGGGGTGGGATCGAGTGTCTCCCTCCGCCACGGTTCCAGAGCCTTCTGGCTCCTGGGCACTTGGCAATTTAGGGTC